ATTTTATTTATATAACCCTTTTGCTGATTTTTAAAGTGTTACATAAATAGGACAGGTGAAATATTATCATGTAAAGCAACCATAAACACATGAAAAGACCTAGGTTTACAATTTATGATTAAAACTCTATCTATACAATATACGTAGACGTAAAATGTAAAAACTTAAATATTTTGGAAACAGTAGCCAATCAGTTGTTTTAATTGTCATATTTGAATTCAGCACATCAAAATACATAATAAATAGCACATTTTATCTCTGAAGCAGACAACTTCTAAAAAAATTATAGACCAGTGTTACATACCCATTATGCCACATCAGTTGATGAGATTGTACTTTGCTGCCTGTTATGTAACAGACATGGGGATTGTGCTAATACATCTTCTATATCATCCTAAATTCATTGGTTCTAAAGTGGAAACTCCAAAGACATTGGCAATTAACCAAAATGAGCACTGCCTGGGGAAAGGATCAGTTTTATGTGCTGTTGAACAGAAGGGATGTATCTTCTTCTAAGAACTATTCTAATGAATAAGAGAAGTGGAAATCAGACAGAATCAATGTTGGTTTCTAATGTATCGTAATCAGTAACCAGAGAGATGTCAGACCATGATGATGTAACAACATCAACATCACCCACGTCAACATAAATCTTTCACAACCAATAAAAATCAGAGCAAGTGATAAAAAAAATCAGTGTCATTTTAGTATAACTAGAATGCAGGGAAACTCTCACTCCATATATAGTTATACATTTTTTGCTTGAAAAATTTTACCCTGGCAATCCTAGGGGTTCCTTGAAATTCTTTCAAGCTGAAAAGAGTACGGTGGCCAAATAAAATTGGGAAATACTGACTTAGTGCATTCACATGCACTAATATGATTTGTTATGTCATGAGTTGTTGTATTTCAATCATTCAGTTTAGCATCAACTTTAGAGTCACCCCAAGTGACCAACATTTATGAGTGAGGTGCCCAAAAAGTATGAAGACTTTGGCTTAACACAACACTACAGTGACCCAAGTCCATC